AACTTTTTCGGAGTTCAGTACATCTGTCGGTCTGCTGGAGTTGAGAAGATTCCAGACGGTTTGCGCCTAATTCTAATCACTGTAATCGCCCCAAAATAATTTACGGCAATTTAATATCTACATTTTGTCTTTAGTCTAACTAAATTAACGATTCAATTTGTATAATTTTATTACTAAGTATTATCCATAATAACAAATTAGATTTGTAAACTCAGACTAGTTCTAAAGTTCAAACATTTAAAGATTTTTAATTTTGTGTCATTCATTTACGAGTAGTAGCTATAAAACTCTGACTTGGCGATGTCCGTACAAATGCTCTATCTAAAAATTAAATATAGAGTAGGCAGGTGTTGCAACGAGCGGTTGGGGCATAATACAATTTGCTATCACCAAGATAATGCCTATGTTTATTTCTAACCGACAACTTTGCATTGCCTACTTCATTTTTCAAGGAATACTAACTCTTAAACTAAAGGTTATATGAAGCCACTATGATGTGCACATTACATGCATTTCACTGCAAATCTAAACGCTCGGCACGTTCCCCATTCGTGACGAGTTAAACTACATTCTCTATTTCAAAAGTATAATATCGCTTAACAAAGTAATCTCCCACAAACAAATGCGACAGTAGGTACAGTCTACACATCAGACTATTTATTTTTGTTGCAATATCGCCCGTATTACAACCACATAAGATGCCACTGTGTTAAGCTTGATGTGCTCTACAGCATACGTGATCCCCGTAAGCTTAAACCGAACGTTCCGCTTTGTGTTATAAAAACTAAAGCGCACAAAGGACGCTTAATGTGCTTAACATATGTGGCGGAGTTAGCGGTGGACTTAAATAAAATAACATAGAGAGGAATTTTACATAACGTCTATGAATAATGGATCGAGACCCGCACATTCCATGAAAAAAGTTGGATTCGGAACGCTACTGCCTGATCAGAAATCTTTGGACGATGAGTGAAAGATTGGAGTTTCAATTAGGTACTTACTTAATATCTTTACGCCCGTATTCACAAACGATGCTTGCTTAAGTGAAGCAGAAAATCGAACGCACAGCGTTGAATAGAGCTCTGTGATTGGTTCATGTGCCATCCACGCGAGATCTCATAGGTAGTAATGTTTCTGAATACGGACGTTAAAATGCAATTATTCAAGCATTCTAATTCGTAATGGTTGAGTAAACTTCTATTATTTATTACGTAGAGAGCTATTTGAAAGCTTGACGCTATAATTTGTAACAAGATGGAAAATTCGTAAAAAGAAAACTTCAATTCGGCTTAAAATAAAGTACTTTTCTGTATGATAATCAGTTAAAACGTAATGCTGAAAGGCTCTTTTAATCTCATGACATGAAACGACACAAAAAGCTTGACATTAATACCTTACTGAGAGCAATTTAAAAGGAAAAAGGTATAAGTCAATTGTAATGCAGTACAAAAACCGGATCAAAATACATTCGTTTATTTATGCAGTTGGTTTCGCTAATAAAGAATGATTTTACCGTAATGCTGTTAATTCATGCAGTAATAAATAAAATCTGGGCAAATTTACCGTGTCACTGCGGTGAATACGTATTTATCTTTCATATTTTATCAGTCTGTATTTTTATATTCATTAAAATTAAAGGACGATTACTTTAAAGATAGAACCGTTAATTTACAAATTAACGGTTTAGCCCGCTAGTTTAATTTTAATTATTAATCATCTACTTTCGAAGCGTAGTGAAGATATGAAATTGCAGATTATCTATGTATCACTATGAACTCTGTTTGGAGAAATTTTAACAACCCACAATAACTTCTCATCCGACCCAGATATTGCTTGCATTCGTTCGCAAACCATTCCCCGTTCACTTGTCTCGTGCCCCTCATTATAATATCTCAATTTTTTGCTATATTTCAATGAAAGTCATGTAAAAATGCTAATATTCTGTAGACGTTTCTTCAAAATGTTATTAATTCGACTCTACAGTTTTTCACAAATAATCTGAAAAGCTGAAGACCCCGCACCACTATAGCGTAAAACTATTAACCGAAACAGCCAAAACAAGAAAAACAATAATCGCATAAAACCATTACAATCCTGGCCGGAAAACCGCAAAAGAAAATAAAAATAAACGGTATAATTGAAAAACGTATGATCATTGTCTCTTAATAATCCCGCAGAATAACCTTGGAAGACGGCCAGTTACGAATAACTAGTTTAATATACTTTGTATGCAGCCACGATGAGATTCTGACCGAACTCAAACTTCGACTGAGTGTTTTATAACACTTTCTGGTGATATTAACTTTACATTTCCTTTTTGGATTCCTGGAAACTTTAAATTTGCATAGTTTTCAGGGTTTATACATTGTTACATTAATTTGGACGAACAATAGAGTGGCTGCAGAGAAACGGGGGTAGAATAGAATGAATGGAAAATCTGCAGTCTATACAGGGTGTTAGGTAAATGGGTATATGAGCCGACACTAGCCCATGTTAACATGGGCATATAAATGGTATGGTGAAGTCAGAAAATTGATATCTTCATTTTAACTATTTTAATTTTTATACAAATCGGAATTTATAAAATTTATTTTGTATGAAAATTTAAAAAATAAAATGATGATATCAAATTTCTGACTTCACCATATCATTTATATGCCCATGTTAACATGGGCTAGTGTCGGCTCATATACCCATTTACCAAACACCCTGTATATATAAAAATGAAACCCGTTTTCCGTTGTCACGACATAACATGAAAACGGCTTGACCGATTTGGCTGATTTTTTTTTGTAGTTTTCTAATACTCTGTACAAGGTTTTTACGGAAAAAATATAAAGAAAATCTCTACGCTAAGGCGGTACGAAGTTCGCCGGGTCAGCTAGTTTAAGATAAAATACGTATTTTAAGGGCAGACAGAGCTAAATAACAAGAAAAATACATAAAAGTAGAAATATATCACAAAATTGTAAATAATATTTTTAATACGCGCAGTTGACTGCAGAGCAGCACTCTCATTTGCTTCATCATCGAGCACTCAAATGATTGTGAACACCGATCAGTCGCCCAGTTTTGAAATACGTCAGAGATATATTTCGAATAGTGGACTAATCGTCCAAGCGGACTCCGTCCAATTCGGCCGATACAAAATGGCCAGGCTTCAAACTTTGACAGCTTTGCCATTTATCACAACTTGATCTTACAGGCGTAGGAATGTTCGTTCTAAATATAGAACATTGTGAATAGGGATGATGATTGGGTAATGAAATCGAAATTCTATTTAGTCCGTCAGACAGATAATTAGAAAATATTAGACTCATATTTTTTATTTTTTTCCATAATCGAATAATTACAGTATTATATTGAGTTGAAATATCGCGTGACGTCACTTTTGAGTAAAAATTCTACTCAAGCGTGACATATCGCGCCATTTCAACTCGATGTAGCACTGTTATTATTTAATTATGAAAGAAAATAAAAAATATGAGTCTAATATTTTCTAATTATCTGTCTGACGGACAAATAATTGAAATTTCGTCATCTAGCCTAATCATTATTTATGGTTCAACTTGAACAAACTGAAAATAGCAAACAAAATAAAATACAAATCTAGATCTGTCCACAGACCATCCAACGTTTAAAAAACGCGTCCTAATCCGTAGTCGCCAGCATTTCATTTGTTTTATCAACGGACCCATCTCTTTATCTACATCAACCGTCCACAAAACAAGAGTGGCCGCAAAAACAAACGAGAAAAACAAAGGACAGATAATAAATATAATAAGCATTGCACTCGAGCATTCCAAAGTTTTGAAAAAAGAACGCGATAAACCGCCGAGAGCGGCCGTCAGCACAATATCCGCGGACCCAGTTACAAAAGTGCTGGGACAAGAACACAGATGCGCGGTAGTTCTGGTAAGCAAATGGCGGCCATACTACAGTTACGGAAACATAAAGAAACTAATTTTGCAAAGTAAACTTGTTTGTTTTCTTTTCTATTCTATTCTGGAAAGTTACAAGTACCTATTATAATGTGTTGTGACTTGTCGTCCAAATAATAAATGATTAGCAGCAACAAAATATTTTAACGTTCCAAAGACTGACGTCACAACTATGAAAACCGCTTTGTCATCTTCTTTATGAAGTTTCCCTTTTTATGTAATTTGTTTTCGGAATTTTTCCGCCTCAAACTTTTTTTAATGCCATGATGAAGTTTTTCTTTCAACGCCCTTAGTTTGTGACAAATGAGAAGTGAAGTTAACAATTTGACAAGTTTCGCAAACTACAAATACATAATTCAAAATAAATAACAGAATCGATTATTATTATTGATTGTCGCTAAATAGGTAGGTACATTGCAAAATTAAAGGTAAAATGTTTTTGAATTTATGATTATAAATATTTTATTATAGCTTCATAAGACTAGTTTATTGTTAAAAGATCGGTCCTACTTTGAAACCATAACTTATAAAATTACAATAAATAAGGGACTCAAATACCCCATTCTACATCTGTCTGCATAGACGAAAATTCTCTTTACGTAACGAATATTGTTTCATAATTAAACTTGTTATCAAAATGTATTCTATTAATAACATCTAGAGCGCCAGAAAAGTACACTCTCAGCAGAATAAATTCGCGTCCTTACCGTGTAATGCCATTTTGGCCCAGAAACTGCAACTAAACCAGATTTTATCGTCCTTTTAAGAAATATTGTGGGCGCGCATGCACACAGACGTTGCAAAACTGCGGTAATATAGTGTTGTATATTTAGAGTGTACTAGCGGCCACCCGCGACTTCTTACGCGTGGAGTCTCTTTTACCTCCTTAGGGGTGGCGTTTTGTAAAATCCGTTCTTAGCCTACACCCTATAAAGAAACTACCTGCCTTTCAATTTTGTAGGTGTTATAGTTTCTGAGTTTTCGTGATTAATCAGTGAGTGGTATTTCGCTGTTATAAATACAATAGATAAAAGAAGATTGTATATGAACTGTACATACCTCCATGACACTACCGCGACGTCCCATGACGGTCCGGCATCACATTATCCACTAGGTATCTGAAACAAAAGTAACATTTATTTAAATATGGTATTTTTTAATTGAGTGGAAAGTGAGAAAGACGTGAAAATAATGCAACTAAGGATAACAATCAAGTGAAAAATTAGGTATTTTCTACAATTTCACCGTAAAGAATCTCACAGATATTTTTTAATAAAAAAATTTATTGACAACAAACCAAGGTGTTTCAACATCTTTCTTTCACCTAAACTTCTTACGCCTAAACTATTCATTTCACAAAAAGGTTATGTAGACATTAAAAAAAAATCTCTAGTTTTAGTTTATTTATGCATGTTTTGTCATAAAATTAATCCGAAAGGAAATATATTTCCAATATGGGCGGCGCGAGCGGCAACCATACGGCAGTACAAAGTTGAAATTTCGTAAAAAGCACATCGAAATCAATAGAAATACCAATTTTCATTACTCCCGGAAAACTTTCCAGGTAAAGCCATTATTTTGTACCAAATGACTGGACTAACGTAAGAGAAAGAAAGATGTTGAAACACCTTGGTGTGCAACAGTGTACATTTTTACATTGAAATCTGAACGCCAATGTATTCCTTGATACATTCATGCCGCGAAGTTTTTATCTCTTCCCAACTTAGGTACAGCTACACATCAGACAATACATTTTTGTTGCAAGATAGAACCTAAGAACCAGGATGTGAAGCTCGATGTGCAGTCGTTTGTTCAAGTACGCACACATTCAAGTTTTACCAAAGAGAATTGAGAAACAAGCTTAAGCTTTTCACGAATTTCAAAGTTCGCGCCTTACATAAAATTACATAAGTAAAATACTAATACAGTAGTGAAAGTAAAATACTAATACAGTATAGGCACAGTATATCAGACATTACCGTGGTATAACAGAGTAATAGTGGTAATAGGTGCTAACGTGTAAACAAAATCGTAGAAGATTTAAGGGGCTTATACGCTTCTCATGGTTGTACTTAGTACTATATATTTTGTTATTGTAAATTATGCTAATTTTATGTACCTTAAGTGATCCAACTAAAGCAACTAGGACTCTAGACTAATAACTACAAAAGTATGGTTAAATTATGTAACTACGTCGACCATTGGATGAGTTTTGAAGAAGTTTTCACTATTAATTTTAATGACAAATTGAGTTACTTTAAGACTAACGATTTATTTTAATAATTAAAAGATCTAGAAATTAATGACAAAAATAATTATAAACACGATAATTATGCACATAATTGCTTACCAAGCCTTATTTGTTTCAGTTCGTAAGTCTAGATTGTACTAGAAACAACGTTCAACTTATTCAGTAGGTATGCTACATTTGTTACTTTATTCTTGAGTAAATTCTAAAACCAAAGGAAGAGATTCCCGCGTACTTTTGCTGGCTGTCATTGTCACTCGTGATGGCAATTTTTCAGAATTCGCCCAACTTGGAAGAACAAATAAAATTTATCTGCGCTGAGTAGACGTATTGACTGACGGACTTAAATCTGTTTGGAGGGGGGTTGCGCACTGACAAGCACGTACACAAAGAAACGCTTCAATGCTCACTCCCATCGCATTTAGATGGCATTAAGAACTTTATGAGTAATGTAATACGTGTCTTCTTATGTCCTGGAATTGATTCCTGATTTTGTTTGTAGGTATCAGTAATGAGAATCGGCTAAACCTTTTGCGAATCGATCGATCGAGTCGTTGATACATACATAGGCTATAATTTATGACGATCTGTGACAAACTAAATTTCACGCGGGTGAAGCCGCGGGCAAAAGCTAGTATATTTAGTCTTCAGTGCGGAACACGACTGAGAGAGTCGTGCTACGGCAAAGTTTATTTTGTTAAGAAAAGGCATTAATAAATCAGTTCATGGTCATGGTAATGTACAAAGCTGATAAAACTTCAAATATCAAATATGCATCAGGAACTTTGTATCTAACCTTAGACTCGGTTTTATAAATTATTATCGAAACAGCCAATGTTGCATCTAAAACGAATTAGCGGTCACAATTTAAAATGTGTACCCAATTTCCCTAATCGCTAACAGCTGTCCGTTCCGTATATCGCTGGGCCTTTATCACTGAATATATCTCGGTTAATTATGCTTTTAGTACTTACATTATAATTTTAAATCATCATTAACCACAGGACTTCCACTGCTGTACATAGGCCTCCCCGAATATTTCTTTTTTTTTTTTTTTTCAGATTAGCCGGTTTATAGCATTTCGTTGCATCGGTTGGTGTCTTGCTGGACATTATTGTACATTATTTTTAAAAAAATATACCTAACTATTGATTGTTCAATGTAGGATGGATACTAAGTATATCTCGAAATTCAGCCAAGAGCTGGCCTCTCTCAATCCTAAATTGGTTAGTGGACGATGCAAGCTTGAATCAACTTGGTGGTCCAAAATGTGACCTTTCAGCATAAAAGTGGTATTTAACTATAAAAACTAATATGTTTGGTTAACAATGATTTAGCTAACTAGCGGCCGCCCGCGACTTCGTACGCGTGGATCCCGTTTTACACCCTTCATCTATCTTAAGCGGGTTAGATTTTTTCATACAAATGTTTTTTCCCGCTAACTCCCGTTCCCGTGGGAATTTTGCAATATCCTGTTGTAACTAAGCTTTAAGTTTACTAAGGTACCTGCACTGCATGCCAAATTTCAAGCGTCTAACTTAAGCGGTTTAGATTTTTCATACATAAGGATTTTCCCGCTAATAGGGATGATGACTGGGTAATGAAATCGAAATTCTATTTAGTCCGTCATACAGATAATTAGAAAATATTAGACTCATATTTTTTATTTTTTTCCATAATCGAATAATTACAGTATTATATTGAGTTGAAATGTCGCGTGATATCACTTTTGAGTAAAAATTCTACTCAAACGTGACGTATCGCGCCATTTCAACTCGACGTAGCACTGTTTTTATTAAATTATGAAAGAAAATAAAAAATATGAGTGTAATATTTTCTAATTATCTGTCTGACGGACAAATAATTGAAATTTTGTCATCTAGCCTATTCCTGTTCCCGTGGGAATTCCTAAATATAGGTACTATAACCTGCCCAGGAGTATTTATTTATTTATTTATTTAAAATCTTTATTGCACACATAAAAATACAGTGGTACAACAGGCGAGCTTAATGCCATGTGTATGAAGAATAATTTTACCAAGTTTCGTTAAAATCCGTCGAGTACCTAGTTTTTGTTTCTACATATAAGGAAGGAACATACAGACAGACAGACAAAAATTTTACTGTTTGCATTTTTGGCGTCAGTATCGATCACTAATCACCCCCTGATAGTTATTTTGAAAATATATTTCATGTACAGAATCGACCTCTCTACATTATTTATTATAAGTATATAGAAGATAGCCATTAAAGACATCTAGTTATTACCTTATAAAAAACACTCTTATTTTAAAATGTTATATTTTATTATAATGATAAATTGAGAGGAGCGCAAAAGTTTAACAAGAAAATTATATTTTAGAAAAATTACATCGCCTTTGTTTACGTCTCTCATAATGAGCATCAATCATAAGTAATTTAGAATGACAATGTAATTTATCGCTAATGGGGATTGTTGATATCCATCATTTTCGCAATTACACCCAATTTGTTTTTCGCCTGAAAAAATGTACTACATTTTTATTTGTTTTCTTCTCTTGGTGAATAAATACATTTGATGTTGCAAAATTTCACGATTACAAAAAAAAATCAAGATTCAATCCTGTGTTAATTAAGCCATGTGAACTTAATTGACGTTTTTATACCTATTCTTAAATCAATTTGAAAACATTAGCATCAAAGTAAGAAAATTGCAAAATAAATATTCGCATTGTATCAACAAAAACCTTCGTTTAACCTGCTTGAAATGTATATCACTGTCAGCAAATGTACACAAAAGTATAATTTGTGTGAATATTACAAATGATATTTTCACGTTCCATTACTGTAAATGCTTCCGCTTCATCGAACTTGCGTCGAGTATTTATAGTCTAGGAGACTGATAACATTAAATTATTTTGATGGAATATTTTTACATGCATGACAAAATCTTTATCATAAAGATTATCTTCTGATTTATAGCAAGCATCGTCACAAAATCATGTTTCGTAAAATCCCTTTGATATGTGCATGTGAAATATATGGTTGTTTGTTTAAGTTTGTTTTACTTCACTTTATTTTTCTCCTAAAAGTGTAAGTGTTTGTGAAGGCCATTTTATTTGCACTGGAGTGTACAAGGACGGAAGAGGACACAGGAAAATGTACTTTGAAAACATTTGCTCTTTTTGTAAGAACAATATTTACACTTGTCCAGTGTTTGTTAGAGCGCAACCTTTTCGTACTACTTAGGCTGAGTTGCACCATCTAACTTTAAGGGTAACTATTACGATAACCGGTGTTTTTGACAGATTTTGGTAACCGGTGTTTTTTGACGTTTGTCACAGTTAAAGTAAGATGGTGCAACCCAGCCTTAGACGTGTCCTTGTTACTAAGAGTTTTTTCTATTTGTGCATTTTAGAAGAACTTGCATAGTATCGAGGAGTCGCGATCTTCAGCTGTTTTCAATAGATAGTCAAACATTTTTTTTTCTTTTTTTTTTCAAAGTACAGAAGACAGCAGACCACGTTAAAGTACATCATCATTTCAGCCATAGGACGTCCACTGCTGAACATAGGCCTCACCCCCAGTGATTTCCACAATGGCCGGTTGGTGGCGGCCTGCATCCAGCGCCTTCCCGCTACCTTTATGAGGTCGTCGGTCCACCTCCGGTGGACGTCCTACGCTGCGCTTTCCGGTACGTGGTCTCCACTCCAGCGTTAAACATGGTTTCTTATTTTATTGCAATAGGTTGTAATTTGTAACAATAAAGTATAGTCTAATGTATCTTTGACTGTAGGTAGAGTTGCAAATCCCTGTTGTAAATATATATTTAGCAAGAGACCATTATTTTTGTATTTACGCATTTATTAAATAGCTAAACATTGTACATTC